AATTGACCTTCCATTAGAAACACAGCTGCCATTCCCAGAAGTGTAACTTGAGAATGTTAGGTCCAAGAAAGCTTCTAAGTTTTATACTTCTTTTCCTACCAGGAACTCCAAATCTTTCTTAAAGAATTCAGCAATGGATGAAAGAGGTCACTGCAAAGGGAAATGGGTTCTAGTGCTGTGCTTCTTAGTCTGTGCCAGGTGCTTAAGAATAGACATTCTTCTTGATTAAACACACTTCCTTATTCTTGAAAATTCTTTATTCATTGAAAGCCCTTTCTTAAATCACTTAAAATCAGAACTTTGTAGTAGCACCTCACACAGGAGAAAGGGAAGGAAAAAGCAGTGGAAAGAGGTGGAAGAGGTAATGAGCTTGTTGGTTCTTCTATTGTAAAAGCTGTTCAGATTTGTAGAGGGGTAGAAGGAATACAGATTGTTCTTTATTTGCTTTTGGTGCCATATCGAATGAACAGGAGGAATAAGGTTTGGAATATTTGTCACAACTCAAGTTTGAGTCTTGTGTTTGGGTTTCTTTGAATCTGTTCCTGAAGGTTGGACCTACTGCAGCTGCAAAGATCACATGTAGTATTTTTTTTAAGTATTTATTTATTATTAAATGTGAGGCTTTCCAGTCTTTCTTTGCTAGGCTTGGAAGGGAGGATAGTAACACGGGTTCTGTGCTTTTTGACCTTAAATCACATACATTGATAGGCTATTGTTTGGCAGGATGAGTCTCTAAAGTTTGGTGTGGTGTTCTGGTCTTTTTTATTTTTTTCTGTTTTCTGGGCTTTTCTGATGTCTCAAACAGCTCAGACTTTGTAGTTAAATTTAATTTTATGTCACTTTTGGCACTTGCCCAAAATTAAAGTAAATTAAATGTTTCCATCATTATTTGGAGGAATGTGACCATGCAGGCTGGCCTTCAGGATCTAACTTCAACAAAGCAGAGTCTTGTAGATGTTTTTGAGTCTAACAAAAAACTTAACTTTTAAAATTGTTTTATAGTAACTTCTTGATCTGTTTTAATCAGTCTGTGACATAGAATCAAATGATATATATGTTCTTTAGAGGTTTTATATTTAGTAAATTTTTCTTCCAAGTCACTTTTTATTTAATATGGGAGTTAGTGGGGTACTTAACCTGTGACAAATTTTAAATTACAGCTAAGCTAGCCAGAGGATAACATGTGTGGTTGATGTCACATTAACTCTAGTTTAAAATGCTCTGTAGGGGTTTTTAGTTACCTGTCACAGTGATAGTAGTGCTGACCTCGGAAGTGCATTGGGCTTTAATCTCTTGAATACTGTACCCATTAGAAGACTGTTTTTTGATTTTTACAAATTGTAGTGCCTGAAAACATTCTTAAGATGATTGTCTTAGGGGAAAAAAAAGGTGCTCCAAAGACAGAACAGGAAAAATTGTTTTAACAGAAAATAATTATGGTAGAAATGTCTGCTTTTTTAGAAATGCTGCACTTTTTGTATTTTCCATTATTGGTTCAGTCTGAACGAACGTGTATAGTTCAGAGGTCTTTGTGTATGCATTTTAAAATTGGTAAATTACTTCATCTTTCAAGTTTTAATTCATTTTTAATTTTACTTTGTACAACATGTAGATGGTTACCTGTTCTCTGCATTTGTAAGTATAGACAGTATCAATTTGTTAATTCTGTAAGTAATTTTTATAATTATGTGACTCTATCCTGTCCTTAAAACTCTTAAACTCTTTATGTGCAAAAAAAGTTGTACCAGTGCTTATTCATTATTATCATTTTTTATAGATTATAATCAAATTGCAAATTACTAGTTGAAACATATCTTTGTTTATGGAACATAACCGTGTGTGTTTCTTATGATGTTTCTTAGCTCACATGTAAGTTATTTATGAACCACAGTTTGAGTCATTTTGGTAGTTTTACTGGAGTCCATAAACTTAGCCTTTAGAAAGAGCACAGTTAGAATATACTACTTTAGGATTAGATTGTTTGCTTTCACCAAATTCTTTTTTTTTTTTTTAAGATTTTAACATGGTAGAAATTGTGTATAAACTTTTTTTGGAAAAGCTATGATAAATATCTCATTTGTTAACATTTTTCAGTATTTGGGAGAAGCTGTCTGCATTAAATCACCTCAGGAGTTAAATATTTACTAATTGTTAACAGTAATTTAATTTCTGCTCTCAAAACTATCTTTAAAATATTGATTATCTTGCCTTTAATTTTGTCTATGTGTTTCCTTCTGCTCAGATAACAAATTAAGGAATTTATGGCATGTGGGAGTATTTTTAGCTATTATTGATACACGATTTTTCTAAATTAACCAACATTTGTAGAACTGACTAGCTATCAATGAAATGTGGCTTCAAAACACATTTATAAGATTGAGTTAGGTATTGAAGATGGGGGACGTGAACAATAATCTCTTCCTTATTTTATAAGAAGTGGACAGAATTTCTGTCTAGATAATGAAGTATGGAAAACAGCCTGTGTTAGTATCTTTCTCCCAAGGTACTTGGGTTTGGGTTGTTTCCTTTTTCTGTATTTTTCTATTTTTGTTTGTCTTTACCTAACAGACATTTCTGTCACCTTTAGTGAGATCATCTGTTACAGAGGTGCCTGGCTGTGCCAAAAGTCCTGATAGTCTTGTCCGACACAGATAAGCATAGAAGTTTAATTAGGAGCTAGAAACAGGGAGGTGGCCCTGTGCCCTTCTTTTAAAATGAAACTTTTTATGCCAGGCAAGTGGAGGTACTTGGGAATTGCCAGTATTTCTCAAGAGTTCTTCTTTAGGGAAGAATATAAACTGAAGTGACCCCCCCCTTCTAAAATGGGAAGGAATCCTTAAATTTTTCATCTGGCCTGGAGGAAGGAGTCTTTTGTTTCAGTTGCCAAACCCTTCAGCTCTCTTATGAGGCAACAGTTCCATAAGGACATATTCCACAAAATATACCCTTATTAATGTTACCAGTGGAAAATTTCATGCAAAGATGGACTCAGTAAAGGACAGAAATGGTATGGACCTAACAGAAGCAGAAGATATTAAGAAGAGGTGGCAAGAATACACAGAAGAACTGTACAAAAAAGATCTTCATGACCCAGATAATCACGATGGTGTGATCACTCACCTAGAACCAGACATCCTGGAATGTGAAGTCAAGTGGGCCTTAGGAAGCATCACTATGAACAGAGCTAGTGGAGGTGATGGAATTCCAGTTGAGCTATTTCAAATCCTGAAAGATGATGCTGTGAAAGTGCTGCACTCAATATGTCAGCACATTTGGAAAACTCAGCAGTGGCCACAAGACTGGAAAAGGTCAGATTTCATTCCAATTCCAAAGAAAGGCAATCCCAAAGAATGCTCAAACTAGCACACAATTGCACTCATCTCACACACTAGTAAGGTAATGCTCAAAATTCTCCAAGCCAGGCTTCAGCAGTACGTGAACTGTGAACTTCCAGATGTTCAGGCTGGATTTAGAAAAGACAGAGGACCCAGAGATCAGATTGCCAACATCCTTTGGATCATCAAAAAAGCGAGAGAGTTCCAAAAAAACATCTATTTCTGGTTTATTGACGATGCCAAAGCCTTCAACTGTGTGGATCACAATAAACTGTGGAAAATTCTGAAAGAGATGGGAATGCCAGGCCACCTGACCTGCCCCTTGAGAAATCTATAAGCAGGTCAGGAAACAACAGTTAAAACTGGACATGGAACAACAGACTGGTTCCAAGTTGGGAAAGGAATACGTCAAGGCTGTATATTATCACCATGCTTATTTAACTTATATGTAGAGTACATCATGAGAAATGTTGGGCTGGAAGAAGCACAAGCTGGAATCAAGATTGCTGGGAGAAATATCAAGAACTTCAGATATGCAGATGACACCACCCTTATGGCAGAAAGTGGAGGAGAACTAAAGAGCCTCTTGATGAGAGTGAAAAAATTGGCTTAAAGCTCAACATTCAGCAAACTAAGATCTTGTCATCCAGTCCCATCACTTCATGGCAAATAGATGGGGAAACAGTGGAAACAGTGGCAGACTTCATTTTTGGGGGCTCCAAAATCACTGCAGATGGTGACTGCAGTTTTGAAATTAAAAGATGCTTACTCCTTGGAAGGAAAGTTATGTCCAACCTAGACGGCATATTAAAAAACAGAGACATTACTTTGCCAACAAAGTTCCATCTAGTCAAGGCTATGGTTTTTCCAGTAGTCATGTATGGATGTGAGAGTTGGACTATAAAGAAAGCTGAGCGCTGAAGAATTGATGCTTTTTAACTGTGGTGTTGGAGAAGAGCCTTGAGAGTCCATTGGACTGCAAGGAGATCCAACCAGTCCATCCTAAAGGAGATTAGTCCTGAGTGTTTGTTGAAAGGACTGATTATTGAAGCTAAAACTCCAATTCTTTGGCCACCTGATGCAAAGAACAGACTCATTTGAGAAGACCCTGATGCTGGAAAAGATTGAAGGCGGGAGAAGAAGGGGACGACAGAGGATGAGATGGTTGGATGGCATCACCGACTCAATGGACATGAGTTTGAGTAAACTCTGGGAGTTGGTGATGGACAGGGAGGCCTGGTGTGCTAAAGTCCATGGGATCACAAAGAGTCGGACAAGACTGAATGACTGAACTGAACTGAATGTTATTCTGAACGTTCTCATTTGTCTTCAGCTTTGATGGCTAGGACAGAAACATTAATAGAGATGGAGCAATTTAATATATGCTCAAATGAAGATTAATCCTTTTACTTCCACCTGCTTCATCTTTTAGTATTTTAGATACATTCAAAAAGCATATAGATATACTAGATAGTCAAATTTGAGCCAGTATGATTATCAAGTCATAAGTAGTTGACAATGCTGAAATCCTCCTGGAGGTTGATGGGACCAGAGAATTGAGCCCTTTGCATTTAACTGGCACACCAGAAATAAGTTGGTTGTGGTTTACCAGCTGTTTGAATGGCTGTCAGTTCTCAGTTTGTGGTTTTTACATTTTTGTTTTAGATCTCAGCAAGGCAATGTCTCAGGATGGTGCTTCTCAGTTCCAAGAAGTCATTCGACAAGAACTAGAGTTATCTGTGAAGAAGGAACTAGAGAAGATACTCACCACAGCACCATCACATGAATTTGAAGTAAGGACCCTACAGTGTGTTTTTGCTTTCATCCATCTACATGCTGAGTTGTTATTGCTACCACTGATCATCTAGCCTGAAATAATTACAAAATGTAATGATATATTTTAATAATTAAGATTGCTTAATAATTACGGATTTTCAGTATTTGCTCAGTGTAAAACCTTCTTTTTAATATTTTAAATTCCGGTAAGTTTCCAAAGTTAAAAGAATCATAACAAAGTTACAATTTATTTTTCTGTGTTTTGATATCATTGGGTGGAAAAAATGGGTAAGTGTTCAGTTAAAATTGTGAGAAGTTAATTTATCAACCTTATATCCTGGATGCCTTTTCCAAAGAGCCTGTTCTAACAGAACTGGGCTACTCTGACAGCTATGATAGAGGTTTCCCAGAAAAGGTAAGTGTTTACTTTTCTACTTATAAATCAACAGATTATCCTTTTCATTTTCAAATTTAAATTTGTACTTAGTGTTTTGAGGTTAGCTGTTTTTAGTTCTTTCTTGTTCTTTTGGTGAAGATTAATTTGCACTTAAAGAAAGTAGAGAACTATATTGGTGAGTAAATGTAGAGAACCAGTCAGAATAGATTACATGATCCTGGTGGGAGATGGGGAGATTGCTTGTATTCCTTTAAGTATGGTTTCTATTAGCTTTCTTCCTCTTTAGTTTTAAATTGGAGTGTAAAAAAGGCTCTGCTGTACTCCATGTTTTAAAGCTGTAAGAATTTCTCTGAAAGGTATTTTAAATGTACAATATATGTCTATCTTCATTAAATACCAAGCATTCTGTTAGCTATAACAATGACTTCTGTTCTCATAGCACACTAAAAAAGACCTTGATGGATTTCGGAAGCTATTTCACAGATTTTTGCAAGAAAAGGGACCTTCTGTGGATTGGGGAAAAATCCAGAGACCTCCGGAAGATTCGGTAAGTTTTAGATAAAATGTAGGAAAATGTAAGGTAATTTAGAACACTGATGTCACTTTTGGGAGTGGGGTACTATAAGGTACCTGTGAGAACCACCACTTCAGACTTTGAAACTACAGAGATAGCCTTCTGCCACTTTCCTTTGTTAGACTCATCCAGCCTGTCCTGCAGAGCACTTATGAAAATCTAATCTCCCTATAACACTACGTCATAAGTTAACATCATTTAGTATGAGGCAGTTCTTTTGTTCAGACACATGATAAGAGCTTCATTATGTTCTCTTCCTTCTTTCTCCAACCCATCTAATTTCTCATTGTCCTTAGGGTCATGTACAGACATGAAGTCAGCTACTCAGAGCTCTTCCCATGCTTTCAATCCATATTTCTAACTGTATTTCCCTTCCCTGCTTTTCTTGAACCAGCCTAACATTCCCTTCGCACACATAGGATTTCCCTGCTTCTAGTCTTTTGTGCATGTTGTTTCCTCGGAACACTATGGGCTCTTCACCTGTTAGTCCTACTCATTTTTTGAGGCTCAGTCTAAATGCCTCCACTTCTGTCATCAGCCCCCTTGAAGAAAGCTGCTCTGAAGAGAGGTAGTACAATAGTCTCAGAGGTTCTAATCCTAGCTCTACTGCTTTGAGCTTTATATAAAATGAGAATGACACCAAGTGCTTTCTGTACTTTATAGGGTTGTTATGAGACTCTATTCGGAAACGTATGGAAACATGTTAAACCATGAAACATTTTGCTGAGTTTGTGGTTATTTCTGTCATACTGTGTGGTACTTAGCTGGCCTAATCAGTAGTGGTGGTTTGTATGTGTGTGTTGTCTTCCTACTAGTCTTTGAGGCCAAGAGACCATGTATCCTGAGGTCAATGATTGATCTAAACAAAGAGATTATTTCAGGGACAGATTAGGTTAACACACTGACTTTTCTTTCCTTTCCAGCAATTTTGACCACTGCTGCTTGTGGCACTTTTCACTAAACGTAGAAAAGACTTGATGGAGTGGAATAATTGTATGTAGATAGTTTATCTGTTATGTAATAAGAGATAATCTAATATTGGTTTAAAAACAGGTTTGTTTTGAGCAGGAGTTTGGTAAACTACTGTCTGAAGGCTATACCACTGCTTGTGTTGGTAAAGTTTTATTGGAATATAACTGCATGTGTTCATTTGTGTAGCGTGTCCCAGCTGGCACAGTGGTAAAGAATCTGGCTGCCAATGCTAGAGACTCAGGTTTGATTCCTGGGTCGAGGAGATCCCCAGGAGAAGGAAATGGCAACCCACTTCAGTATTCTTGCCTAGAAAATTCCGTGGGCAGAGGAGCCTGGAGGGCTACAGTTCATGGGGTTGCAAGAGTCAGACACGACTAAGCATGCACACATTTTCTTATATACCATATCTGGTGGATTAAGCTAATGGAGTTTTTCATATTTTTTCAAATGAGAAAATCTCAAATATAGTTTACTGGTGAAGAGTACCTCTTTAATGTCTTTTAGTTATTAAACTTTTAAAAATTATGAATTACATGCTCATGGTAAAAAAAAAAAAAAAACCCTCCCACCTAAGAGTTCACCTTGAGGAGTCTCTCATTTTTGATGTTAAAGTTAAAATTTCTCTTGTCTGTAGTGCTTGTCAATTACAGCATTTTTTTTTTTTTAGGGTCTTATATTTTAGTCTTTGATTTTCTTTGCTCTGGTAATATATTGTGATTTATTTTTTTTGTTTTTAAGTCATAGAATTAATCATATTTTCTCTTGAAAAAAGTAGAGCAATCTTCTGGATAGGTTATATAATTTTAAAAAGGATCTAGTTGTAAATTCAGTCAGATTAAAAAAGAGAATGTTTGGGAGCAGGCCTAAAATTACAATAAAAAATTTAGACATTATGTATTTTTCCACTTTAAATACTTAATATTTTTGCTTGAAATTTATTCCTCATTGATATAGCCTCACTTTTCTGATTAATGACATACCTGGGGATAAAGATGTGGTTTTATTCTTAATTCTTGCTGACTTGCGATTTTTTTTTTCTCCTTAGACAAACTTAGCCTTTTGATGATAGAGTCTACCTTGAAGGAAGACCCCAAAATTTGTTACTTTCAGTATATTTTATGATTCAAGATTCTGCTTTGCCAATAGAGAAAGCTGCCTTTGTGTATTTTGAGAGATTATGATATATAGTAGGATTTCTTGGAGTGGGGATTGGAGGGTGGGGAAGGAAGCAAGTAGAGGAATCAGAACCACCTAGGGCCTTTTCCAGTTCAGCACCACTATTCCAAACACCACGCCATCAATAGATCCTTTCAGGAGGCTATGCCCCTGCAGTGAACCATGGTTAGTGATAGAAATACTAAGTTGATATAGAAAAAAAAAGAATAGAAAATAGAATTCTGGGTATAATATGATTTTATGAAGTCTTTTCTCTTTTTGTTTATAAAAATGAAGTCTCATTAAAAATATGTCTTTATTTATAAAGCCTAGATTTTTAAAAAGAAATGCTTACAAAAAAAAAAAAAAGAAATGCTTACAATCCCATATGCCTGTAATGTTTACAGTTTTGAAATGCAGAGGGAAAAAACAAGTTTGCTCTTTTAACTATGTCATGAGTTTCTTGAGGGCACAAGTGTGTCTTATATACTCTATGTTAACTACCAGCTTTTGCAAATAGTTCTGAGAATAGAAATTGTAGGTTAATATTCATTCACTTTGCTGCCCTTATGCTCCTCCAGCTCCATCCCTTTTCCCCTCCCCCAACCCCAGCTTTTTTCTCTCTGCTCATAGAGTTTATATAGAGATCAATTTTCCTCTCAAAATAACATTATATAGTATACACAGGTTTTTATTTTTTAAATGAAGGTAATACTTTATGCTCTTAACTGAAAAGAAATTATTGTGGGAGAATAGCCATTTAGAGTGATATTTCTCACGTCATGCTTGCAACAAAGGTATGCACAAAGACATTATTACGACAGAGGATCTATATTTTTGAGTAGAGTTGGCCACCTTGTTTTGTAAATAAAGTTTTATCAGAACACAACCACACTTATTCTTTACATATTGTCTGTGGCTATTACAGTGCTATAATGCTTCAATGGCAGAATTAAATACTTGTAATCAAGACCATACAGCTTACAAAACCCAAAATATTTCCTTTCTGATTCTTTATGGAAAAAGTTTGTTGATCCTATTTTAGTATATTTATTTTTAGAAGGTCTTCAGTAGTTTTCCTTAGTTCTTTGGTCCCGGAAAACTGACCTCAAATGCCTTTCTCCCATCCAAGTACTAACCAGGCCCAACCCAGCTTGTCTTCCGAGATCAGAGGAGATCCAGCACATTCGGGTATAGACTCAAATGCCTTTCTCAATTCAGATAATAACATTGTAGATAAGACTGCTTTTTTCATAAATAGTAGATTGGAGATTATACTTATAGAGAGACATTGACATTTTATGTTGTCAACTTTTACATACTCACTCTTGCTTACTTGGTTGAATACTTCATTTTAGCTCTGTCAGTGAGTATATGTGTGTGTGTGTGTGTGTGTATATATATATATATGTATATATATATATATATATATATATGTATATATATATAGAGAGAGAGAGAGAGAAGTATAATTGACATTCAACATTTTAGTAGTTTCAGATATACAACATAGTGATTTAATTTAACATTTATATGCATCATTAAATGATTACCAGTATAAGTCTAGTTACCTTCTGTCACCGTACAGAGTTAATACAATGTTTTTGACTGTATTCTCCATGTTTTTCTTTGCATCCCCATGACTTATTTATTTTATAACTGAAAGTTTGTACTTCTGGATCCCTGTCACCCATTTCACTCCCTCCGCACCTTTGGCAACCACTAATCTGTTCTCTGACATACATGTTTTTTGAAAAGACTATTGAGTCCATATTTTATTGACTTATGCTAAGAGGAAGAATGCAATTTATGGAATTATGCCATGGATAATGCTCTGCTCCCATTTTGTGAGTGTTAACTAAATGAATGTAGTAATCAAGATTTCAAAGGAAAGTTTTTTAAAAAGCATGTGAAGGGTAATGTTTAGACTAGCAAGGAGGGACCATCACCATGCACAGTGCTCTCTAGAGAGTCTTTAAGAGGATCTTGTTCATGGCCAAACTTAATGTTTAAGCTTACATGTTCAGGATGGAGAGGGATGGGAAGTATAAAAAAGAGACGGGAAGACATGGAGCCTACTCCAGGAGGTTTTGGGCCTGACAGTTTCTTTGGAATCACAACTTAAAACCTGTTACACTTGGCTGGCCATGACTTCTGATGGTAATAGAGTACATTGTCACTTATGTGAAAAATACTCTCTAAAGGCTTTTTCATTTAAATAGGAGCACAGAATCGCCCCCCACCCCCCCCCCCCCCCCGCCCCACCGGTTGATTTATGATTGTCATTGTTCTTGTTTTAAAGCCCTCAAAAGGGTGAGAGTATACTTGTGTATGGGGAGGAGTTATATAAGGTCAGCTCTTTTTGTTTGATCAAGTCAGAGAATTGGTGTGGAAAATATAATATCTTGTGGTATTTAGATTCAAAAGATTTTTTTGTTTGTCTTGCTGTACAAATTAACTGAGAGCTTTTCTTAGTCTTATCACTACAATATCGTTAAAATGTGAACATGTGTGTTTAAATAATAAGACATTCTGAGAAAGTTACAGTGTCCATGTACAGAGTAAAAATACAGATTTTCTTATTTGTTTTTTTGATGGTGAATCACAATATATTCTGCAGCTAACATTTGCACATCTATTTTGAAAGACTTACTGGACGCAATTTGGCCAAGGATCTGCCATGATGTGACATAGGATGGTTTTCTTTGAACATGGTGAAGATTTCCCAGTTGTTGGCAGTAGCTCGTGGCAAAGCCACTAGTGACTTGTTTTGTGTGTGTATAAAAATAATATGAGATCCTGAATGTACACATATTCCACAAAAAGAACGTAGGTAGTGACATTTA